TGATTCGCTGACGGAGAAGCCGCAGGCATTTATTGGGCGATTAGGGAGTTTCGAAAAGCCCGCGCTGCGGCGGGCACGGAGCCTGCCGGGGATCCCGCGTCCCCGCGCGCTGGGACAGCTTCTCCTTGGAAAGCCACCACCCCATCTCGGACGTGTTCTCGCTTCTCCTTTTTGCCCTTGTCTTCTTACACTCCCTTCTCATACATTAGGCAAAAGGTTTAGGCTTAGACTATTCCGGGATATATATGCAAAAAATGATCAGGGTCGGTTAGTTGCCCTCTCACTGCTTTTTTATCCCTCGGAGGGCGCGCGTTAATTTAGCTATGTGACTAGAAGCTATATGAAATTTCTAAAGTATGAGGCACTAACATCCTTACCGTAAAAAAAAAAAACCAACCACAACCCCTCCATACTGTTTATATGTTGGGAAAGTATTTTATCGTCAACGATAATTTGAATTCGATCAACGACTTCAGAGACAAAGTAATTACCATTACATGCACTAATAATTAATTATATTAAGTTTAACTTAGTAAGTAATAAAATCTTCATACCTAAGAAGACCAAAAGGCTATTGTGTTAAAGCTCTTTTTATAGAAAGAGTGGGTGGCTCTTAAAAGAGCCTTTGGGTTAAAACTGACGGTCCGGGACGCTCTACTTGGAGCTGGTATACTTGGTGACAGCCTTGGTGCCCTCGGAGACGGCGTGCTTGGCCAGCTCGCCGGGCAGCAGCAGGCGCACGGCTGTCTGGATCTCCCGAGAGGTGATGGTGGAGCGCTTGTTGTAGTGCGCCAGGCGCGAAGCTTCGCCCGCGATGCGCTCGAAGATGTCGTTGACGAAGGAGTTCATGATGCCCATGGCCTTGGACGAGATGCCAGTGTCAGGGTGCACCTGCTTCAGCACCTTGTACACGTAGATGGAGTAGCTCTCCTTGCGGCTCTTCTTACGCTTCTTGTCACCCTTCTTCTGGGTCTTGGTGACCGCCTTCTTGGAGCCCTTCTTAGGCGCGGGGGCGGACTTGGCCGGCTCAGGCATTTTAGCAAAACTTATCCTGTCTCTCAGAATAAGATCAGCTGCTAAGATGGCCGCAGTGCCAGTATTTATAGCCCTGCTATGCAAATATCGGACCCCTAACTCGCCCAATCCGATCGCTCCTTCCCGCGCGGAGGTGTCTCTGTCCCCGATTGGTCACAACACGATCCGCCTGCTCATTGGTTCCTTCAGCCGTGGCCTGTTCCAGCCAATCCCCGAGCGCCAATCCCGCCCGGGGAAGGGATAAAAGAGGAAAAGCTGTTGCGTCAGTATGATTGTCTTTCTGTTGTGTTGGGCGGTGTGGCTGTAACTTGTCTGGCAGCTAAAGGATGTCTGGCCGTGGCAAGCAGGGAGGCAAAGTT